CCATATAGCTATCCACAGGTGTCAGAGGCCCCACATGATTCACGTATTCATCGTTGCAAGCTGGTTTCTATTTATCGTTTTTGGCGACGGGCATCAGCTTCATAATACAAAACCCAGCGAATAACTGCAAACTGCCTTGCAAGATACAGTTCTCAGTACAATGCCGAACCAAAACCAAGAAAAACTGAAAATATCAACTGCTTTTACGGAATTATATTCATTTTCACTATTGTTGCACATAAAGCATGGTCTTCATCGCTGATAACCTGCTCTTGAAGATTGCCAATCGGTAACGCTATTCTAGCAATTTTCTGGACCCTGAATTCTTCGTGGCAAAAAGGAAATCCGGAACTGCGTCTGTTAGAACGATGACCAAAAGACTTTGCGTAACAAGAGTTCTGAGATATGGTCATCGGATGTAGATGCTCGCCCCCCCCCCACACCGGTTCCATGAGGTATTTTTGGCATCCCGGCCCTATGAGTAACTTCTCACCGGGACTCAAGATAACGCCCTAATGCCCTGTGGGTCAGCATACTGTTTCTTCAAAGGTCAGAAGTTGGTTTCGACCACCGAGTTGGTAAGATGCCCACAATAGTGACAATGAAAACAAAGCTTGTAACTGCTCCCTTTTAATTTCGTTCTTTTTCATTTTATTGAATATAAAAAGATACAATTTTCAGGAAGGGGGAAGAGGCCAATCAAAGGGCTGTCATACAATACACAAAGAATGGAGAAAGTCAGGCGGTGGTGGTGGGATTCGAACGCAGGTCCTCCGGGGTGATAATTTGCTGACGTTATCACTGGGCCATCACTGCCCAAACACGGTTAGCATATAATCTGTTTCTGGTCATTGAATAAGTTGAAATTACGATAAACCTAATAATTTTTTCTCATTCTTACATTACAACCTTGATTTCGGAAGGCGCGGGTCTTCCGTTTCATGACAAGCCTGAACCGAAACTTCAGTTATTCTGACAGTCATTTGACGGCGGAAAATTTTGCTTGCCATCAAAGAATCTTTACCTTTTTTCACTTTTCCCCATCCCTTTGTGTCAAACCACTCAGTGGACGTATCGAATTTGAAGTGTATACAAAAGTGGGATGTGGTTTGATCATTGTCTTACCGGGCGCACTTGAGTGTTTCACTTACCTTAAGCACACAGAACACGAAGAGCGGACCTAATTTTCCCTAAAGATTCTACGTAACACATGGGGTTCGTATTGTTTTGTAACATGCACTATTGAACAGAGAAAGATCAGAAACGCGGTAACTCATACTGTGTTGTAACGGTTACCATAATTTCTGTCTTGATTGATACGGCAACGGTGTTTGGACAGCCTGTCACCCAACTTCGACTTTCCACCTCGAATGACTCTTTAAATGTTAATAGCTTGACTGACTGCTATTGAATGTATAAGCCTGATTTTATTTGAAGTGAAATTATTTGGCAACTTTGAGAGACATTTTCACTTATTCCGATTGCTACAAGGATCGTCGATAGCATCCATAAGTTCTGAATCATTGAATGGACCTCACATACGCCTCGCTGCAGTGAAGTCGGTTCATTCATTTAGTACTGAATACGATACTTTACGGTCGTGCCAGTGAGGCAATACAAGTCGCCATCAAATCGATCTGGACTTCGCGTGTTCAAAGACCACCACTGTTATCCAGCTTTCCAACTTCCGCACACAGCCTCCAACTGATTATAACGTCTTTCCGTCTTTGTTAAAACACATAATGAATAAAGTAAAGAGAATGGATAGAATTATGCTAAAATATTGTGAGCGTTACTGATAAACAAACTCTCATGACCAACCAAACTTACAATTTTAAAATCATGCTTTATTCGGGAAATTTTTCAGCTCATCACCAAATCCTCAGTCCGCTTTGAGTCCCAGCTTTGAGGCCAGGGCTCTAGCTTGCCCGTTGATTGACTATCCGGTATCTCAGGTATCAACACCTCGTCGATCGGGAAGTGTGACGCAATCCAAAGTGACAGAATGGTCCACTCAGATATCACAATCCCGGAGTTCCAACCAACGACCACCAACAGTCACTTGGAGGGATGTGATACCTATATCAGCCAGTGCCAATCTTTTACGGAATCGACCATTTCAATACGTGGGAACGGCATTGCGCGAAACAATACCAAATGTAAATTTTGATTACATTTGTTGCGGGACAATTCGGTTTGCATTTCTTTCGTATTCGGTATCATCCAGAGGGCCTTGTTTTGTTTGATGCAATTGTCATCGTTCTTTAGTTCCAACATATGCTCTCATTTTGAAATCTTTCATATCGCCTGCAGGGTAGATAGCATTCAGAATTAGATGACGTTTATTTGGTAGGTAATACGATATGACTCATAACCCCCTGATAGTGTGATGCGTTTGAACAAAGTGGATGGCCATGGTGCTCGTGCCCGACCGGTCTTATTGATCAGGATTGAACCAAGTTTGGTAGTGTTCTGTCATGCGATCCACCAGACGCCCTGTGACCCAGCCAACATACCTTGCGCTGCAGATACAAATGAACTGAGGAACACAAACAGCGGTTACCTTAGTCTCTAGCGTGTCCTTTGCGAGAAAACTGCTTTGGTGGAGCAGAAAACATGCAATTCTGTTGACCAGCTAGTAATATGATCTGAGTTTCTTAATCAGTAGCCCATCGGGTTCACTAACACACTAACTTTAAAAGTAATATGTCTGAAGCATCCTACAGTCAGCCTTCAAATCTTCTTACATGGCAGCCGGTGTTAGATAATGAAGGTCGTAATTGACCGCTGGATAAAACACTGGAGCAAGCTCATCCCCCTCTAGGCTGTCGTTCTTTGTGCTGATTGTATGTTCCGCTCAACTCATTTGGTGGGTTTTGTGGGATCAAAGGACAAACAAAGAAGGTAAATGAACCTAGGGTGCTGTTCTATGGTTAACACTTGGTACAATTCCACTTCGAATATTTTCTTGTGCACTCGGTTTGTTAATCAGTGAGCTTGGTTTTTAGGGAACACGTATTCTATTCACGGGGTGTTGAAACGGGAAATGAGCACAGCCTCATAAACAGCATGGTAATCATCTATCTGTACTGAAATTGATAATGTTGCACTGAATGCAAGTTTTAGCGTTTTTATTGATCAAACTTGCAAATAAAACACGCAAGGACTGATTGAAACCGCTTGTCCATCCCATCACTCTTTTACTCATTCTTCAATGATTCTACTATCTTTTTAGTTCATCTCTAGTTAGCTGAGCAGAATTATCAAAATGTTGGATTTTGTACTTTTATTAATGTTACTACTAATACTTCTACCACTATCAATAATCGTAATAATAAGGTAGTTAAGTTATTCTCGTCGGAAACGACTGAATAAAATTCGATTTTATTAATCCTGGTAATTTGTTCGTAACTGATGTTTATTGGAATCATCTTGTGATGATTTTAGGCACCCAATATTGCCGACTCACGTGACGTAATGATTCCATTCCTCCCCCCGCCCCACAATGTTCTACTTTCTGACCTCTATCTGAACTTTCAGCAGTCCAATTTAGAATACTACTTTCGATCGTGGATTCGTGCTTATTATATACGCAATGCTCGTGCTTGGCCATATCTGTAATCATTTTTTTCTAGCGGTGTCGAACCTCTTCCCTGTGCACACCTCTCCCGTCCAATCACACACGCAATGATTATGATGAAATGATTCCGTCTGTCTGGACGCTTCCATTGATTTACCGCTCTTCGTTTAGCTAGCCAGCAACGCGCACATACAGAGACAGGAGAAATTAAGTCGTCTATACGGATTTTGCAAACGCTCTCTCTCGACCTCATCAAATCGTATTCACACGTTCGTGAAATGTGTAGACCGCTTGTTAACACACACACACACACACACACCTGATGTGTTCTGATGTGCAATTACACCAATCTGATTTGTCTATCATGAAGAAAATAT